TAGAGGACACATTTTAAAACAACACTGAATGTGACAAATAATTATCTTGACATAGCCTGTTATATATAGAAGACGCACACGCACACACTCCTAGTAAACACCTGTTACTGGTTTTGCAATTTTCTTGTTTTCTGTATCTATTCATTTATTTTATTTTAATTTAATTCAATTGTATTTTTTTTTAAATTGCATTATCCTTAACCTTCGACAATATTTGTTCAGCAGACATTTATGAATGTATTTATTAATAAAATAAACTGTATCTTATAAAGGATCTGTATGGGTTTAAGAAGAAAAACATCTACAAGACAAAGAAAACATGTTTGGAAACCAGCTTGAGTTGCCAGGAAGTGCATGACCCCCCCCCCCAATGTATGACATTTTATAGTCTTAACACCTCCTCTGCTCGAGAATGATGTATTTTTAATAAACTACAGATAATATGAAGTATGTAAGACTAATCCCCAGGGTCACAAAGAGTTGAAAAACCAGATTTAAGCCAAGTCACCCTTCCTCTGACCATTCTGCCCTAGTCTGAAGATGGTGGATTGGCTGTCAGTGGGATTACTGCAACAGGAGGTGATCAGTCATGTAGAAAAGCTGTGGAGTGTCTCTGTCTGGGTGACCCTTTCCCAGCTGTTTCTAGCTACTGTATGTGAAAGTGAGATGTATCTAAATGACACTCTTGAAGGTTAAAAACAATTAACGTTGAGGTCAAAGGTCATGGTGAGGATTATGTTGGATAAAAGGATGTAGAGATAAAATTGCTATTTGATACTGTACAGTAGACAGTTGACTCACTGACTGCAGGACAAATTGCAAGGACAGTCAACACACGCAACAGATTTTTGTACTCAGCAGTCAAATCTGAATTTTGCAGCATTTACCACTAAGATGTGGATATAGTTGAACTAAGAAATAAAACAAGGTGTGTTTCATTATCATTCTAATCTTAAAAAACTCACTATTTTTTGGCCACCTTTTCAGACTTTTCTGACAAAATTCGTTTATGGTTCCCAGACGTTATAAACTAATGATTTTGGTGATATCCTGAATGTTTAGCTAATGCCACCATGAGGTTGACATTTGTGGTTTTAAGTAAAATATTAACAACTACTGGCTTGGTTGCCATTAAAATTTATCAAACACATTCATGTTCCCTTCAGTGCAAATTGTAATCGCGTTGCTGATCCCCTGATTTTCTTCCTAGTGCCATTATATGGTCCAAATTTCACTTTGGCTAAAGAACAAATACTTGCAAAAACATTCCCATCATGCTCAGCTGTACTTTTATCTTTTGTACTAGTAAGCAAATGTTACGATGGCCAGCATAACAGTCAACATGTTAGCACTGTCATTATGAGCCTGTTTGCAGTTTATGTTGTTGCTGTAGACCACACCACTACAGAACACTGCAAAAAACAGAAGGTGTCTAGGAACAGAAGGTATTTCTGTTGTTTTGTATGTGTATCAAAATGCACAAACTGTTTAAAAATGTAACCACAATTGCTGTTACTTAAATTTCTAACCAACAAAATAGAGAAAAGGGGCCTAAATTATTAATAAAGCATAAATAGTGTACTATTTCATTAATGAATTTCTTATTAATGCCTTGTTAATGTGAAAGTCTCTGCAACCTGTGCGGAAGAAATGTAATGTCATGATCAAACCTCACCATTTATTAACTAGAACTATTGTTTATTATTGCACACAGGAGCATACTCCATCATTATAACAGCTGGGTTTAAGCCCTAATAAGCCTTAAGAGCTTGTATGACTGTTGTGTGTTTCCTGTTTCAACACGCTGAGGGAAAATGAGTAACTGAGTTGGAATGGATGAAAAAGAAAGCTGATACAGTGAAATAAAATCTCCATTGTTATTTCTGCAATTAATCATATGCTGTAATTGTTTGCTCAGAATGTAAAAAAAATGTAAAATTGTACAGACACCATCTCAAATTCTGTATCATTTGGCTGCAAACAACCATTGCCTGGGCAGCTGACTTATTTATTGTAGGCAGATATGGAATGCACCACAATGTATTGATTGAGTATTGATTCTGCTTGACAAATAGGGAGGTTTGATCATGACATACTGCAGCACCTGGCTTGCCAAGGGTGCAGCTTTTTACTCTGTTCCCACAGAAGGAAAAAATACAGAATATAATATAAATCCATATTTTCATAGAGTTTTCTGGATACTTTCCTGGGCAGGGAAGGCATTGCAAGAGTATCCACAAATATGCCTTGATCTTCAGATAAAATTTAATCTGAAATGATTATGAGGGCAAACCTTCAGAGCCGTTTTGTCAGCAACTACAGTGCTTATTTTATTGTTTATTGTTTTAAAAAAGGTGAAATTATCAATAAACTAAACTTAAGGATTTCTTTCTTTCGTCTCTCTCGCCCTCTCTCTCTCGCTCTCTCTCTCTCTCATGCACACACATACACAAACACATTGCAGGCATGAACATGCTTACACGGTTTGTTCTCTTGATCTCAAACAGCCTGACAGATGACTTCTCAACCTATTCAAGATGTTGACCATATTGCAAGTCCAACTGCTCTTCCAAGAAATGTGTGTTGTTTGTAAATTGACAACACACGTCAGTTACAGTACAACACTTATTCTATCACATAAGGCAAATGGAGCTCATTTCCTTCATATGTTGAGTTATTTTGGTGTCATTACAAAACCTATATTATTACCTGTCTTGAAAGACATTACTGTGCGCATATGAATGAATGATTATCATCTTTCAGTCTATCTGTGTAAAGCCCAGTTTGGCCAGAGGTGATTACTGTGGATTATACTGAGCTGTTTCTAGCTCCTGACGTGCTCTGTGCTTACATGACGTGCCTCAATCCTGAAATGCTGATTATAACTTGAGAAGCTGCATGTGCGAAAAGATTTCTCAGCACTGGTTTGTTTGCATGCTTCTTGTTTTGTAAGAGCCAAAGCCGAACAGGTTTTAAAGGACATATGATACAAGGGAGTTCCTCACTTGGGAGTGTGCATAGTTAACAGGAACACAAAGAGTCCTAAAGCCTTTCTGTCTACACAACTTTCATAGCAAACACATAAACAGGCATAGGGCAGAAAAAAAAACAAAAAACAGCAGCTTTGTAAAGCAGAAGGCACTAGGGGTTCATGTGGTGGAAGAAAAAGCATCAAAACCACTTTCACAATTTCTTGGGTGATATTTCACAAGGTTATGGTTGCAGTAGGAGTATAGTAATGACCAATACCACTCAACAAAGGTGAGAAATATTTCTCAGACTAAACTGATTTGACTTCCAGTGTTTCAGACAGGAGCAGGTGTAGCTACAAGTCAGTGCCATGTTTTTCTTTTTAAGTGTGACTCTGGGTGTTACCTCACCAGCTCTGACCTTTGTAGGTGATGACAACAACACAGGCTCTCTGGCTTTTCATCTTTAACTGTTTCATCTTTATCTGAGGTACAATCCGGTTGATAATTTCTACACCAGATTCAATCTTGTGTGAAGATGATGCAATATAAATCTGACCCAGTCTGACAATGTAATTAATATTTGTATCAATATACTTACTACACTTAATAATTCATACACTACTGAAAGATTTTCTCACTGAATAGACCACATACCAGACATTTGGGGGATATTCACATACAGAATAGCAGAGTTTGAATCACAAATAGAAAATTCTGAATTTTGTGTGTTTGTCAGTTTATAATAATCTAAAGTATAGGCCCGTTTTCTTGCTCTGCTTTCAAAGAGAATCCATATAAATACAATTTAAGCAGCATCAGAAGATGTGTAAACTAGATTTTGTTTGGTGATATTTGTGTTCATGAAAAAACCTGACAATCAATCTGAGAGTGGCTGTTAGAATAGATTGCACCTTCAAACCTTACTAAATATCACATATGTGTATACGAGATCTTATACACACACTTCTGAAAATTAATGCAGGTGATATCAATACAGAAAAAAAATCCAAAGTATTATAAAAATAAAGCATCTTTAATAGTTACTTTGATTTTCTTTCACAGATACTCAGCATGTTTTCACAGACACATTGAAAATTGCATGATTGTATAGAGGAGGATGACGTATGTATCTCAAAGCAGATGTATGACAATGAAGAAACAATTCAAATTATTTAGTGTGAAAATACGGGACTCTTTGCCATGCTGAGATGGAATTTGAAGGTTTTATATACAGTACACCATCCGTGAGCTTTCACAGGAAGTAGGGCATGTGGTTACCAACCATGGCTCTAAGACGTCACACAGAATTTTGACAACTGTTTTCAGATTCCGAAATGAATTGCCATGTTTGTTATGCCGAATGCTTTGACGGCATTTGTGCACAGTGTGCATAGAATTCAATGTATATTGACAGAGTGAGCTCTCCAAATGTAACAGGATGACCCTGCCTTAAATAAAGTAATACATTTTGATTCTTGTTTCTACCAAATTTGAAATGTGTTTGGTTACTTTATTCAAGATGTATCCAACTTCCAAGAGTAATCACTTCTTTATGATGTTTGTAATTGTTACAGTTGGTGTAAAGAGATGAAGAAAGAAACATTTGCTGTGTCTTGAAACGTCTTTTGTCTTTTTCATACCAATGCAAAAGTTTTATATAAAGTTTTTTGTACAATATTTACATAGGACCTTAGATTAAGTTGCTCTCATGACTTTGTTATAAAGCTGTTAGTACTTTCACATCAATATTAATTCATTAATTACTTTGGTTTTCTGATACTTTACATGTGCGTAAGTGTCATGGATCATAGAAATGATAAAAAGTGGAACAGAGGACGGTACTGTGTGCCCTTATTAACGACAGAAACTCATGGGCATGTGGGTCAAATCATAATATATTGCAAGTAATAACATTCATATGACAAAAGCAAAAAGAGCAACCTCATGTAAGAACTACACTTCTTACAGTGAGCTTTGTAAACATTCATGTAAACAGTGGTGGTTTTTGGAGGTGTGGACAGCTGAATATTAGATGTTTGAGATCTGCCTGAGCTTTCGGTTCACAACCTGCATTGAGTCATCCTTCATTTTTAAAGGTATTTCCACTTCTGATCTTTTCTTTCTGTGCTTTTTAAACCTCTTACAGCATATGTAAGATGTCAGTGTAACAACCAAGAAAAAAAGCCCCAGACATGTCACTGAAAGAGCAATGAGGACAGGCTGACAGGGGAAGAGCTCATACCTCTCCGGCCCCTCTGTCATTTGGCCAGTGTACCAGGGCCTCTCCTCTATCTCTATGTCAGCCTCTCTGGTCAGCAGGCTCTGGATGTAACTCTCATTGCTCACTGTTTCATTGACAAAGAAGTTAACCATGACAGTTGAGTAAAGTGGCTCAGGCTGACCATGATCACTGACCTTCACCAGAAGGCTGTAGAGGCCCCGGTTGCTGAGTTCCCTCTTTAATGTGATATTTCCTGTTTCTGGGTCTATGGCAAATGACCCCGGTTCGCCACCTTTCCTCTTAATGATACTATAGGCGATCACAGCATTCATGCCTGTATCTTTATCCACAGCGTACACCTCTGTGATTGATGTTCCTGGTAACGTATTGGGTAGCACTAGCATGTAGGACTGATTGGACTGAGGGAAGAGGACAATAGGCGGGTTGTCATTTACATCCAACAACAGCACGGTCACCATGGTAACACAGGAAAGCGTGGGCTCCCCACCATCGATGGCCTCAATCCACAGCTGGTATGTCCCTTGTTGCTCACGGTCCAGTGATGTCTTGGCCCTCAGCGCCCCCCGCCCTGTGTCGATCATGAAGATGTCGCTGCCGTTGAGGATGGAAAGGGCCACCCAGCCATTTTCCCCAGCATCAGCATCCGTCACAGAGAGAACACCGATCTCACCGTACCCTGGGAAGTTCTCTGGCACGAAGAAAGTAAAGTCTTTATTGATGAAGCGGGGACTGTTGTCATTGCGGTCTTGCACGCTCACCACCACAGTTGCAATTGACTCCCTCCTGGGTGTCCCCTGATCCACTGCTCTCACTATGAACCGGTATGTCTCTTTCTCCTCACGGTCCAGTGATGTGGCCACAGTCAGGACACCTGTCACACGATCCACAACAAAGATCCCGGGGGCGTCACCTCCAAGGAGGTAGATGACTTCCCCTCGGCTTTCGCTGTCCTGGTCCGAGGCTTGGAGCTGGGTTAGAAAAGTGTTCGGTGGATTGTTTTCCTCAACAGATATTTCCAACAGAGACTGCTGAAACACTGGTGCGTTATCATTCTCATCCAACACCTGCACCTTGAGGAATGTCTTGATGACAAGTCCTTGAGTATTCTTAGCAACCACAATTAGCTCATATTCCTGTATCTTTTCATAGTCCAAGGGCTCTGTAGTCTCCAGCAGGTATTCATTCTTGAACAGCTGATAGGGACCAAGCCTGAAGGGACCAGTCCCTTCCAAATAACAGTCCACCCTTTGGTTCATATCAATGTTTTTAACAGTAAAAAAAGCAATTGGAGAAAAGGCTGGCTCAGACTCCTTTATAGTGACTACCCCATCCTTTTCTGGTGCAATGTACCGAGGTATGACAGCAGGGGGTCCAGTGACAACTTTGATGATATGGAAAGTAACAGTGGCAACAGCAGGGATACAACCAGGCCCGTTAGCCAGAGCGGTGAGTTTGTAAAATGTGGCTGTGACAGTGTTTATTTTCCCTGCTAGCTTGATCACCCCAGTGATTCTGTCCAAATGGAACAAGCTCCTGGTGTCCCTTGGCACACGTTCACTGTAAGCGTAGCTGATCTGAGCATTAGCACCAAGGTCAGGGTCAAAAGCATGCAAACGTGCCAAATGTGCCCCTTTGGTAGCATTCCCATGCAGAGTGACATTAATTTGTGACTCTGTGAATTGGGGGCAGTTATCGTTCACATCTGTGATGACAATTTTTAAAGTAGCTGCGCCGAGTAGAGGAGGGGTCCCTCCATCCTCTGCAATGATATCTGTAATGTATTCAGCCTGTGTCTCTCTGTCCAAGGCCTCTGTCACAATGAGGAAGGGTGTGAGCTCTCCTCCCTCATTCTCCTCAACATCCAGTGTGAACACGCCAAAGTCGTTAACCAGCCAGTAGGTCTGCACTCCGTGAACACCCAGGTCCGGGTCAACTGCAGACTGCTCCACTGCATAACGAGCGTTGACGGGAGTGTTTTCGGGGACAGACATACAGATCTCATCCACGGGGAACTTTGGCCTGTTGTCGTTCACATCCTCAATTAAAATCTTAACTTTTATGAGCTGAAAGTACTGCTGAGGCAACACAAACACATCCAGTGAGAGGACACATCCCTGTCCCTCTGCGTTATCAGGACAGAGGGTCTCTCTGTCAATCTCTGTAGCAGATGTGTGAAGCTCCCCCGTCGTATTATTTAGGTTCACATACTGTTCACTGACCTTCTTTTGCGAGAGACTGAATAAAAAGGGGGGCTCAACAGTGAAATCCAAATTTAAGTCTACTCCAATGGCCCCTATGAAGGTCCCCCTGGGTAATCCCTCCTTTATCTTATAGATGAGCTCTTTTGCTTGGCTGAAATTTGCAAAACAGGAAAGAGGGCTGGTGTAAAGCAAGAGGATGCACAATCCCTGTAATACAAGATAATTAAAGATAATACAGTTTAATGAGAGAGTTGCAGAATAGAATGAGGTATTACTGATTATGAACACTGAACATTATTATTTTATTATAGCTGATGCAGAGCTCTGGCAGTGGCAACCATGAATTGAACTGTAATCATTGCAACTACTGTAATGCTCATTATGATGATCACTGTACCCAATCAATCCAGATTGGATTAGATTTGTTAGGACAATAAAGTTTATTTAAGCATAAAAAAGACATGATAATTAAAACAGTATAGTGTAGAGGTGGGGGGGTGGGGGGTACTCATGTCCTAAGTCATATAACGTTGTATTTGCAGTATCATAAAAGGTAATTGCAGTTCTGTTAAAGTGAAGTTTGTCTGTAAACTTACCCATATTCCTCCTCTTTTGCTAAGGCTGGGGTGTCTGCTGTTGAACATGTTTATGTCCTAGTCCAACACTTTCCACTTAAAGCAGTGAGAGTGGCAGTTTAAGTAACCCAGGCATTTTGAGCGTTGAGCAGTGCAGACCTCTGCTGAGTGCTATGGCTTATTGCTATCTGACTTGAACAAGTCATTCATCCCAGTGCTGGCTCAGGACACTCCCACCATATGCAAATCAGTCCCTCGTGCGAACCAATGAGAGCCCATGTGCACTGGAAAATCTACTTGAGTTCACAGATTTTATTTTCACACATGCTATCAAAGCACATTGACACACACACACACACACACACACACACACACACACACACACACACACACACACACACACACACACACACACACACACACACACACACACCTGCACTTTTTTATACACACCCATGCTGTCACAAGCAGCATACCTTGTAATACTGTGGTAGAGTGAAAGCACATGATTAACAACTGGGCTTATAATAACATGGTAGACTAAGCAACATGTAAAATAGCCACCGCCCAGAGATTAGTTTAATCCTGCAATGGTTAAAAAACACTACAGAAAAATGCAAATGTATAATGATGTAATGATGATCTAGGCTATTGTGTTTCTGATCACAGCTGAACATTGACTTTCTGAATTTATAGTTAGATAGATAGATAGATAGATAGATAGATAGATAGATAGATAGATAGATAGATAGATAGATCGTATATAGCCTATACTGTATATCAATTAAACAATACAGAAATCATGAAAATATCATAAACAAAGACAGCAGAGAGGTGATCTTGCCATCATAAGTGGTGATGTGGTCTGATTCTGGATTGAGCCTTTAACTAAATCAACCCCCTAATCCCCATGTGTTCTAAATGCCGGGCCAGCTGTTTGCTGGGATTGGAAGCATACTGCTCAGAGAAATTGAGTGATTGAAGTTCTCTGGTGGATTGAGACAGTCACACACACTCATTTTGTCAAATATTGCATTAGACCTTTGCTGTCATGCCTCATCATAAGGGTCTAGTGGATGGACAATACTAAGGCCTAAACTTTATAATACAGTTCTTGCAGTTGCTTTCTTATTCGGTGAGAAGTGTAATATAGAAATAGATCAAATTTCTTATAGTTCGATGAGGTATTTTGCATGATATACAATGCATTTCAGTGACATAGCCAGACAGTATATTGATATGGATCATTTCCATTTCCATCTTGCATCCAGCATCCTGAGTTGTTTTAGTCCATGCACTAAGCTCTGAAATATTTCTGTAAACACAGACTGTAGGCTCAGTAGACTGGGAGGCAGCAACAGATCAGGGAAATGAGAGTCATTTGAGAGCTGCCTGCAGAGTGCAGACGGTGTGAGGTGTTCAGCTGTTGATCATCAGTGAAGAGTCAGTCTAGAAAAGAGCAGTTGCATTAGATGGCACAGCAGAAGCACAGTTATAAGTATTTAGCTAATTAAGGTCAATTCATTCGCTTTATGTGCTCACATTGTTTTTAAAAGAAAAAAAGCAGCTAATTGAAATATTTTTTGCATGAAACTATATTCTGCGCGACCAAGATGGTTCATGTATTTGCAATACAATAATCACATTTAAGCTGTAATTATTTTGTATTTTAACTAATTTCCATTCCACATTTTCCCTGTCCCTCAGCCTGTTGCTATGATACTGAGACGAGTTGAGAGCTCACAGATGACAGGTGACAAGTGGGGACCAACAGGCACAGAGGTCACCGTATCAGGTTAACTGACATATAGCATCACTGGCCTTTGTGTTACAGCTCTTTGTCATGCAACTGCCACAGAGTAAATAATGTAAAGCCAACCATAACCTGTAACGCCTGACACATTTAAAACGTTGTCTCACACATGCACAAGCTGTTTTATGATCCAGGGCCCCATTTCACCAAATTTGCAACATAGAAGTTGTGATCTGCAATATGAGATCATCTCCACTCCTGCCAATTTTGACACATGCAACCTGTCCAAACAAACACTATTCTTGTGGCTCATGCAAGAGCATTGGGAAGCCCTGTATGACTCACAGATGTATCTATAAAGTATGAATCACAGTCATTTGTGATGCTGCCACCATGTGTGATGTAAGCATTATCTTTATTGCATGAGTTGTATGAAAAAAATTCTGTGGAATGCATCAATTTCAAACCATCTCGACATATTAATATTAATTTGTGTTACTGTATTTTGTATTTGTATATGTTGTATTTTAACAAACTCTACTGATTCAAGCCCAGCCAGTTTGACTTGATTGGATTAAGACAGCAATACCCTGGTTTCTAATCTGGCCTGTGATCTTTGCTGTATCACACTGATTTCTTTATTTTAATCTCTATTTCACTCTCCTTTTATTTTAGAAAAAAACATCCTAAAAATATTTGAATCTGAAAAATCTAAGTGGCTATCAAATAACTTTTGTGATTTTATATCCTCTGCAATATTTGTAATTATTTTCTCTTTAAATTTCTAATGACCAACTAAACAACTTGTCTTGTTTTTTTTTTTTGTGTGGATTCTCAAAGTTAACAGTCAACATTTAAAATGTGTTGGCCAGACAAAAAAACTAAAAAAACTACTACTACAAAGGTTGAATGAGGCCAAGAGGCAGTATTACTTTGGTCTTAATTACATCATTTGCTGCTCTGAGTCTGTGTGAGATGAGACAGCGTAATCTCTGCCCAGATTTCCAAACAGATGTCCTGTTAACCTTGGTCTTTCCTTTTAATCAAAGGACCGCTAAGCTATCTTGATAGCTACAAGACAGCTCCATGGCTGTTAAGTAAGTTGAACATGACCACACAAAAGTATCACGTCAGGAGATACAGTAACTTGAAAACCTCTTTTTGGAGCCTGTGTAGAATCATCTTTCAGAACAATCAACAATCAAACATCCACTAGGATGATTTATTTAATGCGTTAGCAGTAGTTTTATTCATTTATTTACTTATTTATTTATTTATTTGGGGGGGCGGGGGGCTGTGTCAGGAGGAGCAGTGTCCCAAAAATAACATCTTGCATGCATCTGAACAAATATACTTATAAAGAACAAGATTAATAATAAATAAAAAAGACATGTAATACTCATTCCTCAATGACGTTTCCTTTAGGGTCATACTGTGTAATAAGTCTCACATTGTCTAAGTCTCCCTTTGGGCCCATCAGTATAATTGTGTAGATGCTTGAGAACACTGGGGAGCTGAACTATTTCCAAAGTTTGAAGTCTGATGTGTGATATATTGTATGTGACATTAATGCAATACAAACTAATTGTTGGTCAAAAACTGTTGCACTCTCTTTTGACTAATTACTGTAATTTTGAAAACGTCAAAAACCAGAAGCCATTACATTGAGTTAGTTGTTGATCCAGCTGGAATCGCTGCTTCTATAGCACTATACAGTTCCAGAAATATGCATCACAGCTGTGTGTTGTTAGTTATAATGAAATATCTGTAGAATTGCCTCTTGGCAAATCAATATGACGCCCTCAGAAATACTTGTTTTATACCATCTAATTAATCAAACCGGCATTTCCCGTGTTTATCACAAAACAATAATTGCTGCAAAACTGAGAGAAGATTTCAGTTTAATAGAATACTACACAAAGCACTGTTCAGTAAGCCATATTCAACAGGCCAGAAATCCACTCATATTTTGTCAGTCAGAGTTGAGAGTGGGTCATGGGAGACCGTCTGCATGGTTCTGCTTTACTTTGCAATACCTTGATGCATAATGGGCAGTATTAGCATATAGATATTCTCTCTCGACAAAGTCCCACTATTGACTTTTAGTGCCAAGATGGGCACAAACAGGTGGCTAGAAGACATCTATCTATCTATCTATCTATCTATCTATCTATCTATCTATCTATCTATCTATCTATCTATCTGTCTATCTATCTATCTATCTATCTATCATGGAGCAACATTTTCCAGCTCAATGCACTTGTGTGGTGTGTGCATCAGCCACACTGCAGCTGCATCCCTCACTCTCAAGGGGACAGACCTCAGTATTCCCCACTGAACGAGTGGCCATCACCAAGCAGGGGCAGAGAAAAGTAGACTTTCGATTAGTACAGCTTTTTGGAAAATGGAATGGAGTGTAAATAACTGGGACAACTATTTTCTGCGCCTTTGTAGAAATGCAATGAAGTTTTCTTTGTGCAAAGCGTGCACTGATTTCCTTTAGACTAATGTGTAAAGTCAGCCATAGCTGTTCTTGCTCTGTCACTGCCACCTACTGGTTGAACTGATATAAAAGAAAAAAATAAGTAATGTTTCACTCACACATACACAGTGCAGTATAGCGCAGTATCTGTGTGTCATATTACTAGCTCAAATCCATAAGGCTTTGCTGGCCTGTTTCTAGTTGGGCGCAAAATGCAATTTGGGGCTAAATCTACAGTTGTATTTTCACTAGCCCTTGTCCTACAGCAGAATTAGATTTGTACAAATGTGATAGTTGAGTCCAGGGCTGCAAACTTGTAAGAGTACTTACTCAAGTAAATGATTTGTCATTTTCTTCCTGTGGAGACCCAATTTTCTCATTGACAAATCTGTGAATAGTACAAAGGAAAAATGCTTAAACTGTCTCTGCGGCTTGCCATCACGGAACCAATCTTGGTGTAAAATGGAGTTGGTCTAACATGATATTATACTACACAATTTCTGAACCCCAAAGGTCTATTTCTATTAACTGAAAAAAATACTCCCCCCCCCCCACACACACACACACATCCCCTGCTGCTCCTCTCTTCCACTGTTTTCCTCCCATCAGTTTTCTTTCTTTCTGCTCTTGTCAGCTACTAAAGATGCATCCTGGCACAAATGTGAGAAAGCTCATCTGGAGGGGTGAGGCAGAAACAGGCAGAGAGTGTAAAATAACATGAAAACCTTGGGAGCTTGTGTTTGATAGGCACGCAGACAGACAGACAGACAGACAGACAGGCATACAGACAGACAGAGAGAGCGATGGTAAGATAGCAGAGAGTGATAAACCTTGGTGTGGTGT